TGTTGTTGCTTACAATTGCTAGGTCTGGGTTGTAACCATGCTTCCAGTAGGTACTTTGGAAGGATGAAGGAAGCTCGGGTTATGGATAAGGTTTAGTTTGGTGCTGTCAATCCGTTTCTCTACAGCTTTGCCATCCTTGTTGGTATCCGTGAACCCCAACTAGGTGCTGTACCTGTTGAAATCACCTATGATAATCTGTGGCTTGTCGTGTTTAAGAGAGACAGGTTACAGAAAATTGAAGTCTACTGTTGGTAACTTGTAGACAGATGTCACTACAGCACTGTTAAGTTAAGCACTTCTGTGTTGTTGGTATCTGACTGAGAGGTAGCTTCTATAACAGAGCCTGTTTTGACATTTTTAGCCTTAGTATAGATAGCATACACAATATAGCCAAAGCAAATAGATGCTTTACATTACATAGCATAACATTATACCTTCATGGGATTGTGACTTTCATTCAACAGTGGACATTTCCATTAAGTGACATGAGTAACTGTCAGTTGAGTGTAGGAATTTACAGCTGGAAAATAAGAGATTTGGATATATGTGGGAAGGCCCAACTTGCAGGAAGATGTGATCAGTCACAACAGCCTTTTTACTCTCTAATGCTGGTGTCCAGATACCAGGTGAATCAGATGGGTTTGTCTGAAATTATTTAGATTTTAGCCAGTACAGCATGAAGAAAACTCACTGACTTCACATGTCCTCTGTTGTTTACTGATGTCTGTATCTCTTTTGCGGGGGGGACTTCAGACTACACTTTCTTCTCTCTACGGCATTTACTTAAATGTTAAACAATATTCCTATCCACCTTACTTCCAAGTCCCTCTTCCCTCCCTCCTCTCTTTCTCTGTCCGAACACTATGTAGAACTAACACATTACAGTTAGAGCAGTGTTGTGATGCACAGACTACTTGTGTCCAAAATGGGGAAATGTAACAAGGCATACGGACTAAGTTTTTCTCGAACATAGCTCTGACGTTATTGTGGTGTCTGGGTTGTCCTTATGCCTCCGCCTCTGTCCTCTGTGTCTCATCGTCCATTTGATTGAGTTCCTTGTCTGGGCACTCAAGCTTGAACAAATACAGTCCAATGTGAAATTCCTCCTAATAATCAATGTACACTTGTTCTAACTGAAAAGAGACAGAGATATAGTACTGCATCTAGCGTCTTTTTCATAATGCTCAGCCTTTTTTGTGTGTGTCTGTGCACTTCAAGTTAAAAATCTCTGATTCAGGCAACCAATTCATAATGCTCATAAGAATCACAGA